TATTATTATAGTTTTCATCCATTTAAACTGAACTGGGGCTGCTCACAAATATCAGTGTGTTTTTCTCAGCATCTTTGTTAGGAGGATCTTATTTGGTGGATTTTTAAACATGCATTTCATTTCTAATAGATGTGAAATTATACTCACCATCAAGTGACTCACGTGACCTGTACAGCTTTATAAGATGTCATAGTCAAATGATCTGTGTTGCTCAATATTATGCTATCATTGCCTCAAAATTCTTTGTACTTTTTCAACAGAGTTTCTTTTCTTTTCTTTTTTTCCATAATTTTATTGATAAACAAATAGCAATGAGATAGTTTCAAATCAAATTGGTAGGACAGTTTCAATAATTAACATACTGCATACATTCTTCTTAGTGGTTAATAGCTGTACAAGATGCGGACATGATATCCTATTTAAAAACACCATTCAGAGAGTTCTTACCTATGTCTACAACTTTATGAGTTTTGCCTATTTTGTTTTCTACCAGTTATGTGTTTCTGTTTTAATATTTACTTCTTTGAAATATTTTTCGTTTAGTGCAGAACTAAAATTTTCTTTGCCAGAGTACTGTAGTGTTCACTGTTGAGGTCTTTTAGTTCCTTAGTTAATTCTTTTTTTTTTTTGGCATAATTTTATTGATAAACAAGTAGCAAAGAGACAGTTTCAAATCAAATGGCTAGGACATTTTCAATAATTAGCATACTGCATACATTCTTCTTAGTGGTTAATAGCTGTACAAGATGCAGACTTGAGATCCTATTTACAAACACCATTAGAACAAATCATTTAATTCATTAAGAGAATGTAACTATATATCTATCCTAACCACTTTGAACACACAGATACAAAATGGACATTCATCTGTATACCCTTTTTTGTTAAGTTCCGTTATTTGAATATTATAGGTGTGTAAACACAGCAAAATATTCTAAAAGAGTCCAGTAGCTCATAATAGCATTGGGTCTTCTGTTTAACTGGCAATGTCAGAAATTGTTGACCTGAATTCCCCACAGCTCAAC